CCCCACATTGCCTTCCCACTTCCCTTTCCTCCCAGCCGCCTGGATCTGCATTCTCCGTTACCACCAGTTCCAGGGCTGGCGTGTCAGGAAGTGGCTTAACCAGCTGATCCTCTGGTCCGGGCTCCTCTGTGCCTTCGGCACCTCCGTGGTGGGCAATTTCCAGGTGAGTCTGAGTCCGCTCCGGGCGCCCAGCCTAAGGGATCCGGCCAGCCACAGTCTGGGACTACAACTCCCAGCATCCTCCGGGGCGGCCGACCCCTTCTGTGGAGGGGCGCTCGGCCCCGCTTAGCCTCCTGGGACATGTATTTCTTTGTGGTTCTCGGGCCGTGGGCGTGCGGGGAGGTGGGGACTCCGGTGTCTGAATGGAGCGTCGTGTGGGAGCCGCTTCCTAGGGATTCGGTTGCACCCGGGGAGGTGATTCCCCGCCATTCTCCACCCCCTCGGGGATGAAACGGCTGACGGTCACTCATTGTTGGTGTTTGCCACGTTGGCGGAGTTTGCCCCAGGCTGTACCTTCTGCCCTGGGACTGATTCTAGGCCGGTCCTTCCTGGGAGGTAGAAAAAAAAAAAAAAAGGCCGAAACCGGTGTGGCTCAGTGGATAGAGCTTGGGCCTGCGGACTGGAAGGTCCCAGGTTCGATTCCGGTCAAGGGCATGTACCTTGGTTGCGGGCACATCCCCAGTGGGGGGTGTGCAGGAGGCAGCTGATTGGTGTTTTTCTCTCTCTTGGACGTTTCTAACTCTCTATCCCTCTCCCTCTCCCTTCCTCTCTGTAAAAAAATCAATAAAATATATATATATATATATATATATATATATATATATATATATATATTTGTTGTTTTTTTTTTAAAAAAGAAACATCAATGATGAGAATCATTAATGGGCTGCCTCCTGCACACCGCCTACTGGGGATCAAGCCCACACCCAGGCATATGTCTGACTGGAATCAAATCCGCACCCTGCAGTCCGCTGGCCCACGCTCTCCACATGTGTCAAACACAAGGCCCGCGGGCCAAATCCGTCCCGCCAAGCCTTGCAATGTGGCCCGCACCGCGCTGTCATCACTGCACTCCGCTGCGTTTCCATCACAGTGACAGTTTATGACTGTTCAGTAAACCATTCGGCCCGTGATTTAGGCTGGATTTTAGATTTTGGCCCCTTCTCTGATTGAGTTCGACACCCTCAGTGGATAGTATCCACTGAGCCAAATGAGTTAAGTCCAAAAACCAATTTTAAGAAATATATTTCTTTATTGATTTCAGAGAGAAGGGAGAGGGATGGAGAGGTTGAAACATCAATGATGAGAGAGACTCATGGACCAGCTGCCTCCTGCATGCCCCACACTGAGGTTGGAGCCTGCAACTCCGGCATGTGCCCTTGGCCGGAATTGAACCTGGGACCCTCCAGTCCACTGAGCCACCCAGTGAGGGCCCCCCAAAAAAACCACAATTTTTATCCCCTTGGCGGCAACACCTACTCTCCCTCACCCCAGGTGAGAATAAAAGACTTGTTGCACCAACATCTAGGCGCCTCTGCTCGGGGCCAGGCACTGTTTTAGGGATTGAGGCCTATCCTCCCCACAACCCCCAGGTGAAGGCCAGGTTTAAATGCCCGCCCTCCCAGAGCTTCACTGTGCACGGGGTTGGTCAGGGGCCCCCATCCCTGCCCGGTGGGCCTGGCCTCTGCTCAGGTCCGCCCCTCACCTCCTCCTGCTCCTCCTCCAGCAAAAGAACCAGCTGCCCACGCACCTGGCGGGCGCCTTCCTGGCCCTGTTCGTGGGCCACGTGTACTTCTGGCTGCAGGTCCTCCTCTGCTGGCGGATGAAGCGCCTGCCCCAGCCCGGGGCCCCGTGGATCTGGCCGCTGCGCCTGCTCCTCTGCATCCTCTGCAGCGTCCTCCTGGTGACCAGTATCCTTCCGGGCGGGCTCGCGGGGGAGGGGGGTCTGCTGTGTGCTGGTGCGGATGCTCCGGTTTCCCGCCCCGTTACAGGGCAGTCCTCACGGGTGTGTGTGTGTGTGTGTGTGTGTGTGTGTGTGTGTGTGTGTGCGCGCGCGCGCACGCTGCCTGGGTGGCTGGGTTGCAATCCCGTCTGGTCCTCCTACCAGCTGGGGAGGCCCCGCTGGTGTTTAGCTTCTCAGGGCCTCGAGTCCCTCACCTGTCAAACGCAGAGCGCGCCCGGCGGTGAGGATGGAGACATACATGTGCGGTGCTGAGATCCGTGCCGGCCCGTAGGGAGCGGCCAGTTGATGAGGGGAGGCCGCTGAGCCGGCCGTTGGGGTGCGCTCTGTGCAGACTGAGGCTCAGACCGGAGCAGACTCTGGCTGTGATGTCACGTTGGTCGCTGGGAAGGGCCGTGGTGGGAGTCTTTACACCACAGGAAGCGCAGACCCGGCTGTGGCTCATGTGGAGCGAGTGCTGGGCTGCAGGCCCCTGGCCTGGATGCTCAGGGCAGGGAGTGATCTCTGCTCAGCTCCACGCGGGGTGATGTCACGTGAGTCGGGCGAGGTCATAGTAGTCAGGTGATGTCATGTCAGTTGGGGCGAGGTCACGTCAGTTGGGATGATGTCACATTAGTCGGGTGATGTCATGTTACCAGGGGTGATGTCATGTTACCCAGTGTGATGTCACGTCAGTCGGGGCGATGTCATGTTAGTTGGGTGATGTCACGTTAGTTGGTGGCGACGTCGCATTAGTTGGTGGCGATGTCACGCCAGTTGGGGTGATGTCACGTCGGTTGGGGTGATGTCACATCAGGCGGGTGATGTCATGTCAGGTGACATCACAATAATCAGGCGATGTCATGTCAGTCGGGGCGATGCCACGTCAGTCGGGTGATGTCATGTTACCCGGGGTGATGTCACGTCAGTCGGGTGATGTCACGTCAGTCAGGTGATGTCATGTGAATCAGGGTGATGTCACATCAGTCGGGTGATGTCCTGTGAATCAGGGTGATGTCATGTCAGTCGGGTGATGTCCTGTGAATCAGGGTGATGTCACGTTAGTCGGGTGATGTCATGTGAATCAGGGTGATGTCACGTCAGTCGGGTGATGTCCTGTGAATCAGGGTGATGTCACGTCAGTCGGGTGATGTCATGTTACCCGGGGTGATGTCACGTCAGTCGGGTGATGTCCTGTGAATCAGGGTGATGTCACGTCAGTCGGGTGATGTCCTATGAATCAGGGTGATGTCATGTCAGTCGGGTGATGTCCTGTGAATCAGGATGATGTCACGTCAGTCGGGTGAAGTCCTGTGAATCAGGGTGATGTCACGTCAGTCGGGTGATGTCCTGTGAATCAGGGTGATGTCACGTCAGTCGGGTGATGTCCTGTGAATCAGGGTGATGTCACGTCAGTCGGGTGATGTCCTGTGAATCAGGGTGATGTCACGTTAGTCGGGTGATGTCATGTGAATCAGGGTGATGTCACGTCAGTCGGGTGACGTCCTGTGAATCAGGGTGATGTCACGTCAGTCGGGTGATGTCATGTTACCCGGGGTGATGTCACGTTAGTCGGGTGATGTCCTGTGAATCAGGGTGATGTCACGTCAGTCGGGTGATGTCCTATGAATCAGGGTGATGTCATGTCAGTCGGGTGATGTCATGTGAATCAGGGTGATGTCACGTCAGTCGGGTGATGTCCTGTGAATCAGGGTGATGTCACGTCAGTCGGGTGATGTCCTGTGAATCAGGGTGATGTCACGTCAGTCGGGTGATGTCCTGTGAATCAGGGTGATGTCACGTCAGTCGGGTGATGTCCTGTGAATCAGGGTGATGTCACGTCAGTCGGGTGATGTCCTGTGAATCAGGGTGATGTCACGTCAGTCGGGTGATGTCCTGTGAATCAGGGTGATGTCACGTCAGTCGGGTGATGTCCTGTGAATCAGGGTGATGTCACGTCAGTCGCTGGGAAGGCCGTGGTGGGAGTGTTGACACCACAGGAAGTGGCAGCTGCCACAGGCCCCTCTCTTGGCGGCTGCCCTTGACCCTGCGCCCAGTGCTCGTCCTGCACTTCAGTCGTCAGCGCTCGGCGGCCGCCGTCTGCGAGTGGGCCGTGGCCATGCTGCTCTTCACGCTGTTCGGCCTCATGGCCGTGGACTTCTCCGGCCTGGAGGGCTGCTCCCTGTGCCTCCAGCCCGAGCCCAGCCTCAGCCCGCCGCCCGCCTCCCCCACCTCCCCCGTCTCCCCGCAGACCCCAACGCCGCTGCCCCTGGCCCTGCCCCTGGCCCCGGCCGGGCCTCCCGCCAGGACAGGGTCCGAGCCCGGGCTCCTCTGGGCCTCAGACGCGTCGCTGGGCACGAACCTCCCGGAGGAACCGCCCGGGACGGACCTTAAAGGACTTGGCGGGCACTGGCCGGTGTGGCTCAATGGTTAGAGCGCTGGCCCACGCACCGGGCCAGTTTGATTCCGATCGATCGATCGAGACTGTGCACCTGGGGGTTGGATGCCTGGTCCCAGCTGGGCGAGTGTGAGAGCCAAGTGAGAGATGTGTCTCCCCCCCCCCGCCCTTCCGCTCTGCGTAAAAGCAACGGAGACACGTCCTGGGGGAGGACCGCCAACGATGACGAAGGAGATCGTGCCGTCGCCGCCCGGCCTGGGACCCGGACCCGGCGGGCATGCATGGGGCCGCGCCCTGGACCCCCGCGGGCCTGGCACCTCCCTGCCCTCCGTCCCCGCCCCTGCCCCGGCCGCCCAGGAAGCCAGAGGCAGCGGCCAGCTGGCTGCCGCCCCTGCCCAAGGCTATTTATTGTTGTTGTTAATTCCTTTTCTTTTTGCCGCCGGCGGAATCAGAGACTCAGACACAGGCAGGGTCTCGGGAAACCAGAATTCCTTCCGGAGAGCAAATCCGTACAGGAGGTGGGGGAGGGGGGGGGAGGAGAAGGGGGCCCAGGAAGGGGGGGTTGGGGATGACACAGGGCAGATGGCCCCCTGTCCGTCCGGATCTGCTGAGCCACCCCGGCCAGCCCCGCCCCGCAGAGAGGTCGATCAATAAATAAAATAATAAATTAATCAATAAATAAAATAGAAACAGCTCCCACCCCCGGACGCCCCCCCTCCCCCGGCACCCCCCCTCCCGTTGGGCACGGCCCTCAAGCCCCCCCCTGCAGGGCGGGGCCGGGCCGGCCGTGTGCCCCCCTCCCTATGTACTGCTCAGGCCCTATTTACAGATTCACAGTCGGGGGGGGCAGGGAAGGGGGTGGAGGGGCGCCCCTCCCTCCCCGGCCCCCCTGGGGTCAGGGCAGAGGGGTCCCGTTGGTGGCCAGGAGCTTCTTGTCCTTGGGGGGGCCTCGGCGGGGAGAGCCACTCAGCTCCGGGTCCGGGCGGCCGGGCGGGGGCTGCAGGCTCCGGGGCGGGGTGCTGGCCGGCCGGGGCTGCGCCCCGTTCTTCTCGTCTGTCGGGGAGGAAGCGGGGTGGCGTGAGCTCCGGGCGCTGGGGCCGGCCTGGCGGTTCCTGCCACCCCATCCGGGTCTCGGCGACCCCAAGGCCGGCCGGGACGACTCTGCCATCGTGCAGAGGCCGGAGCCCCCTACTTGGGTGCTGGCGGGGGGCACACGCCAGCCACCAGGCCTGCGAACCCTACCATGGGGCCATGCATCCGGGCCCCCTCTGGCCCCCGGCTGGCCGTTCTCAGACACTGGCGTGTGGGCACAGAGAAGATTCGAGCCAAAACCGGTGTGGCTCAGTGGATAGACAGAGCGTCCGCCTGCGGACGGAAGGGTCCCAGGTTCGATTCCGATCAAGGGCATGTATCTTGGTTGAGGGCACATCCCCGGTAAGGAGTGTGCAGGAGGCAGCTGATTGTTGTTTCCCTCCCATCGATGTTTCTAACTCGCTATCCCACTCTCTTCCTCTCTGTGAAACATCAATAAAATATATTTAAAGAACAAGCAGCCCTAACCGGTGTGGCTCAGCGGATAGAGCATCGGCCTGCGGACTGAAGGGTCCCGGGTTCGATTCCGGTCAAGGGCATGCACCTTGGTTGTGGGTACGTGCCCAGTAGGGGGTGTGCAGGAGGCAGCTGCTGATGGATGTTTCTCTAGCCCTCTCCCTTCCCCTCTGTAAAAAATAAATAAAATGTATTAAAAAAAAAAAAAAGATCCCAGCACCCTGGGCCATAGCCAGAGGGGCCTCTTTCCTTCCACCGCCCTGGCGGGTAGGGGGGACGCTCCTACAACAGGTTGTTTGGGGTCTCAGGCCCCCCCCCCAGGTAGTCTTGCCCGTCTGGGGTCACCCCTTGGAGGGGCCACACAGAGCGACCCGCCCCCACAAAAGTCTCGGCTTGCTGATTTTTGTTGTCATAGCAACCAGGATGGATTGGGGGTCACCCCCTGCCCCATTCTCTTGGGCTAAGTCCCCAAGTGCCTGTTGGTCCTTCCTCTCTGAGGGCGTGCCCTTTGGGGGACCCTGGTTGCTAAGATCAGCTTTCCTTAGCAACCAGGTCCAGCAGGGTTCAGGGGGCCTGACCTGGATTCTGGTCACCCCGGAATAACCAGGCCTAGTAGGGAGACTCCTGGAGCAGGCCTGCTCCACTCCCCAGGAGGTCGGAGCGCCTTGCTGTGGGGGCGTCCTGGGCGCCCCGCACCCCTATCCCCCCAAGATGGACCCCAGCCGAGAGGCCTCCAGACATTGCTGGATGTCCCCCCTTCCCCCCCAAAGCTGCCCAGCTTCTCCTGCTGAGCACGGGGACCTGGTTACATGGCAGGGCCAAGGGGATGCTGGCGGTGACAGGCCAGGGCCCAGCGGGCGGTGCTTCTGGCTCATCTGGGGGGCAGCCTTGAAATACCCTCCCCAGGAGGGCCGCGTCCCAGGGAGGTGCCCATCACCGGCTGTGCTGACGGACGCCGAGCGAAGGAACTGGGGCCTGGGGCCTCTGGGAAGACGGAATGGATACCCTGGCTCCAGCCTCAAGGGGGGAGCCTGGCCTGGCCCTCCAGACATCTTGAGAGTCGCCCCGTCGGTTCTGACCTTGGGGGAAATGGTCCTGACCTTGGGAAAATGGTTCTGACCTTGGGAACCATCACTCTCCAGCAGACGTGACCCTGGGTGCTGGCCTTCCCCGGTGACAAGGCCGAGCAGGCCTCTGCCCCAGAGCCGGGGTCCTGCCTGCCTGCCCTGTTTCTCCCTGGGGCCGGGGGACCCCATTCCCACGTATCCCAGGAGTGGGGCTGAGCAGGGCTGTCTTCATGGAGGAATTCTGGTGACCCCTGGTTGCTAGGGAATTCCGCTCCCTGACAACAAGGCTAGCCTCCAGGAACACCAGCTCCCAGGCTAGGCCCAAGCCTGGAAAGGGAACCCCCAGGTTGCCCTGGCCGGTGTGGCTCAGTGGATAGAGCATCGGCCAGTGGACTGAAGGGTCCCCGGTTTGATTCTGGCCAAGGGCACATGCTCGGGTTGCAGGTTCAATCCCCAGCGGGGGACATGTAGGAGGCGGCTGATCAATGATTCTCATCATGGATGTTTCTCTCTCTCTCTCCTTCCTCTTTGAAATCAATGAAGATATATTTTAAAAAATAAAAATAAAGGGAACCCCCAGGCAACCCGCTCGCAGGTCTGCAGGTGAGACCTCAGTGGGACCACAGGTGGCCTCGCTTCCCCTGCTAACCAAAACCAAAAGCTGTAGCTCTGGTCACGGGGAGTTCCCACTGCACCCGGCAGACAGCCGGCACCCGGCATCCCACCCGCCAGGGCCCACACCCACCCGCCAAGGCTCACACCCACCCTCGAGGCCCGCACCCACCTGCCAAGGCCTGCACCCACCTGCCAAGGCCTGCACCCACCTGCCATCTACCCACCATGGCTCGCACCCACCCTCGAGGCCCACACCCACCCTCGAGGCCCGCACCCACCTGCCAAGGCCTGCACGGAGGGCTGGTCGTGAGTGCTCAGCAGCTGTGCCTGGATGGTCTCCACCACGCGCTTGAACCGCCGGCTGGGCCCTGGAAGGGCCGGGAAACAGTGAGGTGGGGACCGGGGACGCCAGGGCCGGGGAAGCCACTCCCTCCACCCAGGGGAGGATCCCCTCCCCTCGGTCTCAGTCCCCCTCCGCTCCGGGGCCCGGCACGGAACAGGCACTGACCAGGCACCCGGAGCTGAGAGATGCTGGCTTACAGTAACAGTGGGTGCTGTTTTCTACCTCAGTGGAGTTTTATTCCTTTTAGTTTCGGCCGGAGGCCATGGAGAGCCAGAAATGTCAGAAAAATCATTGGGCCCTACCCGGCTTGGCTCAGTGGATAGAGCATCAGCCTGCGACTAAAGGGTCCCGGGTTTGATTCCCGTCAAGACCAGTGCAGTGCCTGGGTTGCTGGCTGGATCCCCAGTAGGGGGCATGCAGGAGGCAGCCAATCAACGATTCTCTCTCTCATTCATGTTTCTCTTCCTCTCCCTTCCTCTCTGAAATCAATAAAAATATTTTTTTTTTTAAAAAGAAAGAACAAAGGAAAGGGGATCGATCTGGCCAGGGTGGCTCAGTTGGTTGCACATCATCCCATGCACCAAATGATCACCAGTTCAATTCCTGGTCAGAGCAATGCCCAGGGTGGAGGCTTGATCCCCAGGAGGGGTGGTGCAGGAGACGACCCTCCTCACATCAATGTTTCTCTCCCTCTCCCTTCCTCTCTCTCTCAGATCAGTAAACGTGTTAAAGGAAGGCGGGAAGGGGAGGAGAGACGTGGGGGTCTGCGTGAGGAGGGGGCTCACACAGTCAGGCCCAGCTGAGCACCATCTCCGCCTCCTCCGTGCTGCCCTCCGGGGCTGCTGTCCCGAGCATCCCAGACAGCAGGCGGGGGCGGCCTCGGCCGGGAGACGTACCGGAGAGGAGCGTGAAGGTGACAGAGTAGATGCCGCCTCCGCCGCCACCGCTGTCCCGCCGAGGGGCGGGCTCTGGCCCCTCAGAGGAGCTGATGTCCACCTGGAAGCGGACGGGCTTCTGGAAGACGGAGGGGCCCCCGCTGGCCTTGTACTCGGCCCTGAAGCTGGTCTGTGACAGCACACTGTGACTCAGGCTGGGGATCTGAGAGAGACGGGGGGCACTGTGACTCAGGCTGGGGATCTGAGAGAGACGGGGGGCACACAAGGAGGAGGCGACCCCAGGGACCTTGGTTGCAGGGAATGGATAAGCAAACCCTACAGCGGCCTTTGTCCAAGGAACTACAAGTCCCATCAGACACTGGAGCAAAAGTATGAGGCAAGGCATCCGAACGCCCCATTGCCCGCTGGGATTTGTAGTTTTCCCATCCAACTGTGACTAGGTTATGTACGGATGAATGGCTGGGCAGCTGATTCCTAATGTAATAATAGGGGAATGTTAACTCACCAGTCCTCAGGGGACACTGATACGTGGAGAATTGCAACTCACGGTCCTATTTTACCACTCCCTGCCCCCACAAGGACCAAACAGAACTCTGGCTGAAAAACTACAAATCCCATGAACCCCACGAAGGAGTCAGGCCAGTGCCAAGGTGGTGAACCCCAGGGGCTGCTGTGGTTCTGTGGTGGCCAGCGTGTGTGCGTGCGTGGGTGTGTGCGTGCGTGGGGACCCCGGCCCCTCACCGACAGGAAGGCGTGGACGATGTCCGCTTTGATGCTACTGAGAGGTTTGTCCTTTAGCACGAGAAAAATTTGTTCTTCTTTGTCCAAGGAGATAAAGTTCCCGAACCAGGAGCGTTTTGCCAGCCTGAGTAGGAGGGGATGGTTTGGAGGAGGGTCAGGACGGGGCTGAGGACGTGAAAAACCCCCCCTCCATCCTTTCTCTCCCCTTCCCCGTCTCACTCACTCTGGAGAGGACTCCGGCGTCAAACTGGACATCTCCTCGGCGGTGGGCACTGGGGGGGGGGGGGGGAAAGCATGGCCAATACTTGTCTATCATCCTCATGAGCAGCACAAGCAGGGCGTCCAGACCCAGTGTCTATTCACCGCGCCCAGGAGCCAGACCCCAAAAGGTAAGCAACCTCGGGTTCCTTCCAGAGATGCTGCCGGGCCCGTTAGGCCGCGCCCCCTGTGGGT